CAGCGGCCGTTCTGAAAACATGCGCTTTTAAGTGCTAAAGGAATAACGAAGTCACACATGTTGTATTTCATACATCTAATAGCATAAGCTTAGAAATTGAAAGCTTCTTTCAGTTTATGACCTTTCTAGAAAGAATACAGGAAGCTTAGAGTAACCTACTGTAATTAACTAGTGCTTACGCGAACTTCAAGCGATCCAGGAGCTATAAGCCACCGTAATCTAAGCTTAGGGAATTTGGCGGATTAGTGTACTGCTTATCGTAATCCTACCGCACCTTTGCATAGGTCATGAGTGACAATAAAACAGAACTTTGGAAAATTGGTTTCGTTGTCGTAATAAGTACAAAGCCACCTAGCAACGAAGATGCACTCAGAACTCTTTATTTAAAATTTCCAGTTGGGACCTCCACCATCAGTGCCAGACGAGCCGCCCTCTCAACACAATACACTAACTCGTCCGGCAGGCACATTAAGTACGCTGAAGCGAGAACGAGCAAAGGAACGGGAACGGCTACAGAAGGAGCTGAATATTCTTGGAGACGTGGAGAGAAAAGAAGAAACGCAGTCGAAAAGTAAAGAAGAATCCGATTACAAACCTACCTCACCATTATCACCTGAACCACATTCAACATTGAAAGAGAAGACTAGTTACGTTGAGGTAAGAGTTTTGTTTAAGAAGTCTTTCAAGGGACAACCACCTTACTGAAAAGGGGAATTTGAAAATTTTCCATGATGTCTTCGACATTTTTCTTGACATCTGTAAGGCGCAAGGGCTAGAAAATTTGAAAAAAAAAACATGGGAATTTTTTCTAGGAACCCGAATCCAACACTACCACATTGGAACGCAAAGAACGTAAAATGGAAAAAGAGCAAGCGTTGGTGCGACGGATCACCAACGATATGCAAATAGCACATTATGTTCGACAAATGGAAATGTCTAGAGGTCATGGGAAGCGACATCGAGGAGGTGAGCGTGTTTGGACTCATATAAGTTTGAAAAATATAAAAAATTGTTTCAGCTTTTTCAACCGGTGTTTTTCGCATACGATCACTAAGATTTTTCGAAGCTGGACTTCGTCGTGCTCTGTGGTATCTTGGCAAGGCTATCGCTAATCACAAGCTGCTTTTCGTGGTAAGACTACCGTACTGCTATCGTAATCTAGTCAGCAAATATATCCAATATCGATTGCAGGTGCTTCCTTTGTTAATCGTCGCCTCTTCGCTGATTGGTCCGATTCTTCACCGCAGTAAAATGACAGTATCGCTGCCATTCGCGCTGCTTGGCGCTGACGGAAATGACGTCATCTCAAATGGCTACAGTATTCAGAGGACACAACGTGGTTTCAACTACAGTAATCCTGCGTTCAGTGCGTTGGATTTTATGGATCCGTCCGAGTTTGCTGTACTGCTGAGAACAACGTAAGGTTTTCTTTTGTTGTGATTTTGTTCAAAGCTATAATCCAAATAGTTTTACCGTAATACTTTGGATTTCTGTATCTAGGGATTGAGGGGGGAGAGGATATTTTTTACAATGAGTTCAGAAAATCCGCACATCTTGAATTTTGTTGTAGAGTCGTCTATATGAAGCGTTTGCGAAAATTTCTAGTGGGATGAAAAAGAAAAATAATCACGGCAAAGCATAGTAAGGCGAATGAATATGGAAAAAAGGAGAAAAAACGTTTCGGATGGATGAATGAATGAATGAGTGAATGAATGAAAGGATGAACGACTGAAAGGATGAATGAATGAATAAATGAATGAATGAAAGAACGAATGAAAGGATGAATGAATGAATGAATGAATGAATGAAT